GCCGCTCTACTCCCGAGGACGTAGGCATCTTTGCCGAACCTCGTTAAATCTTAGTGTTCTTCTGGATTTGTGTCGATTACTATTTTTCTTCGCCCTAATTTTCTCAATAGATTGGCAACCCGGTTTTTCTTCAATGTGCAAGGCATTGGTTTTCGAGGCTTCTTCCTTGGTGTAGCTCTCGATTTGGAGAGAGAGTCACAGAATTTTTTATTGTGAACGTCGAGGTGTTCGACGCTGTAATTTCTCAAGTTAATAAAATCATATGCAAATTCGTAGACGTAGGCAATTTGTCGAACCGCGTAAATCTGTGTGTTTTGTTGTTTTCTGTTTTGTGATTTTTCTCGATCTGATTTTTCCCTTTATTGCTGTCGTTTTTCACAACAATTAGTATTAGAGATTTGGTTCATATCAAATGAAGAACGATAGACAGAGACGAAGTGATGATATTGGGGATCGAAAATTTCAATGGCACAAATTTTGCATATTGGAGGATGCAAGTAAAGAACTACCTCTATGGGAAGAAGCTTATCTTCCGTTATTGGAAAATTATTGGAAAAGAAGCGTATTGGAAAAGAAGCGAGAAAAGATGGACGAGGCAGAATGAAATTTGTTGGATCGACAAGTTCTGTGTGTTATTTGACTAACCATGTCGAGGTCTGTTGCACACAATGTCATCGAGGAGAGGACTACTGCAGATCTCATATCGGTTTTATTTGGTATGTATGAAAATTCATCGTCGAATGACAAGTTGCGTTCGATGAAGAAGTTGTTCAATTTGAAGATGACAGAATGTACATCTGTTGCACAACATCTGAATGATTTCAATAATATCACAAATCGATTGTTGTATGTTGAAGTTGATTTTGAAGATGAGATACATGAGTTGATATTGTTGGCATCATTGTCAAATAGCTGGGAAGCCATAAGGATGGCAGTTAGCAGTCTTGTAGGTAAATCCAAACTGAAATATGATGATATTCGTGATTTGATTTTTCCTCAGATGCACATGAAAGATTATGACCAGACATTAGGATCGAGTTCGGAACTGATTGTTGATTTCAGAGAGAGATCATAGAACAAGAACTTAAACAGAGGAAGATAAAAATCAAAGTCTGATCAGCAGACAACCTGCTGTAATTATAGCAAGGCTGGTCACATAAAAATAACTTGTAGGAATCCTATGAATAAAGAGAATGATGTCGCAAATGTGGTAATTGAAGAGGTACATGATGCGCTATTGCCGACAGTTCACATTTCTGTTAATGATTGAATACTGGATTCAGGGGCTTCCTTCCATACATCTTTCCATCGGGAGTTACTGTGAAACTATGTTATAGGTAACTTTGAGAATGTATATATGACCGATGAAAAAAGCTCTAGACGTGGTGGGGATAAGCGACATTAATATTGCACTCCCTAACAAGAGCAAATTGACTTTGCAAAAGGTCATGCACGTTCCTGGTGTTGCATGTAACTTTGGGAATGTATATTTGACAGATGAAAACACTCTGAACGTGGACGTTGATATTGCACTCTCTAATAAAAGCAAATTGACTTTATAAAAATTCAAACACGTTTCTGAGTTGAAAAAAAAACCTCATTTATGTTGGACAGCTCAATGAGGGTAGTCATTCAGTAGTGTTATCAGGTAGTACCTAAAAGGTTACTAAAGGAGCATTAGTATTGACTCGGGGTAAGAAAACTGACACACTATATATGACTAAAACTTTACCCAGACGTTGACACATGAGTCAGAGGTGCATTATGAGAAAACAGAAGAAAGTTAGTTTTCTGAAAAGGGGTAGAGCGCCAAAGAAAGAAAAACTGAATATTGTACTGAAAGATAGTAGAGAACCACAGTGCTATGAAGAAATCTTGCAAGATGAAAATTCGAGAAAGTGGGAGCTAACAAAAATTCTACCAAGGAAAAAGACATTACACAACAAGTGGATGTACTGAGTGAAGATTGCGCTTGATGGTAGTAAGAGGTACATGACTAGACTTATAGAAAATGGGTTTCAGCAGAGATAGTATATTGTCCATGCAGTGAAAGTTGTAAGCGGATACACAAGTAACACAGGAAAGAGCTTGGAGGTACAATGTTATGTTGATGCTGATATGTCAACTAAGGGTGTTACTCTTGAGAAACTCAAGTTGTGCTGGGCTTCAGTTGATTTTCTGACATGAAGATCAGAGATTTGAGTTGTAGAGGTGGAGGATATCATGTTTGAGAAAAGGACGGTGCAGACAATAAGTGATGCAATCAATATCTCAATCTTCAAATGGGAGAATTATTGGGTATTGTGGAGCCTAATTCACTATTTCAATTCAATTTGGTTGTTTCGACAAATCTGAAAATTGATTAAATTGCATTTAATATAATTTACTTTACATGTATTTCATATATCTCATTTCTGCTTGCCGCCTCTTCCTAATTCCCACTGGAATTTCATGAACAAAGAAGGAAGAAGGGCCCCGCTCCATTAATGAGTGCAGAAGAAGGAATTAATTACCTTTCGTAAGATTCCAAGCTTCCTTTTTAGTTATGTTGTTCGATGAGATAGTAGATGCGAGAAGAGGGAATAAAATGAGATGCAACTTTTGTTCATGGAAAGGGGAAGGTCGGCAACCCGGCAAGGCATTGATATTCCAGGCTTCTTTCTCGGTGTAGCTCTCGGTTTAGATCGAGTGAGATAATTCTTTCTTATGAATGTGGAGACGTTCGGCGACATAATTTCTCAAGCTAATAAAATCCTCTAAAACTCTGTGGACGTATGCAAATTGCCGAACCATGTAAATCTGTGTGTTTCACTATTTTTTGTTCTGCGACTTTTCTCGTTCTTAGTTTTCCCTTTACTGTTGTCATTTTTCCACAACATATGGTCAATCCAACACTATCTTGGTAATGGGAGTTGTCGCCCCTATCTTCCTCAGACTGGGATCATTGGTTGTTAGGCTTCAATCTATCTTGTTTATTGTTTGGTCCTTGTTGACCTCATTTTTATGAAGTTTGTTTCTCTATCTAGATTATATGATCTAGTCATACGACTTCCCCGCTGACTCTTCGAGAGGATTAGTATTGAGACCCGTACTATATAGAGATTCAAAGCAGTTATTAACTCATTGTAGTTTCATATGTGTGATTTCAAATCCTCAACATTTAGTTGAATGATTAAAACCAACATATTGAAACTCAAGTTGAGTTCTTATAAAGATCGAAGAAGTTTTAAGGAGACTCTTCAACGCCTGTTGAGAGGCATGCCATAGAGATTGTCTTGCTAGACATTGGTTCTCGCCGAAGTGAAGAGCGACCGTCATTTTGTTTGTCGAACAACTTCAATCGAATTAACAAACATCTTTCGCCGCGTAGCACACAAAACTGGCTTAAATTGTCCCGATCACCAATGAATTTGTCCAAATGACCTCATATGATGAAATGAACTGTACGTGCGCATCTGAAACGTCGAATTTACATTGTAAAAACACACACGTTAATATAATTTAATGCACATGTAAGCACATGAAGACATTTAAATAATAACTATTATAAGATATTATTTAAAAAATAAGAAATCCCTATAATAAAATCACGCATCTCTCACCTTTGAGCACACGTGCTCGCAACCCTGGAAAAATATTACATCATGACTTTTAACGTAGTTACGTTCTGATTAGAATATCCAACCGTGTTAAGGGAATATTTCATCTGCATTATTTGTAAAAATGATGTGTTATACGGGTATTATATGGTGTTATTTTATTATTTTGCGGTGTTATTGGAATATTTCCCTGCATTATTTAATTTGGGGCTATGTCATTTGACATATTACCCATATTATTTCAATTTTCACTATGTTATTGGAATAACACAACCTCAAAACAAGTAATGCAGGAGAATATTTTAATAACAGTTCAACCCCAAACCAAATAACACGATGATATATTACAATAACTAAGTAAAATAATCAAATAACACCATTTAATACTCAATTAATAAATTATTTTTACAAATAACGCATAACAAAGCTAAATATTCCATGCGAACTCTGGTAGTCGTGATTTTAGTCCTGATTTAATTCAATTTTAAGAACTTTGATTGTTCCTTATTTAAATTTTAACTTTGATTGAACTTTGACTGTTAATCATTCAACCGATCGAGATAGCTTATGCAATAGATCCGCGGAGATCTCATCAAACCAAAACCACAACCATAAAAAATAATGAATAAATTAAATTAGGCATCTTAAACAAAACCAAAATCTAACGAACTTGAAAAAAATGAGGTGCACATAAATAAGTCAAGAAAAATTCGCCCGTCCTTCAAAGGAAGACTGGATCGACAAAAAATACTAACCTTGCGAGGAACGAATTGGTCTCAAACTGCGCGTCTGCAGACACGGATGCACAGATCGATCAACGAATTAGGGTTTCGAGGGGTGGGAGCTCAATATGGGGAGAACAAGATAGGTCGATCTCTCTTTCTCGCTCGCTCTGTTATCTTCCTTCTCCGCTCCACCGACGGCAGTATGCGACTTCTTCTTCCTGGCGGGGTGCAGGGCAGAACGTGTGAGAACTTACGAAGGAGAAATTAGGGGTACGAGAGTAAAAAGCAGAGCGGTAACGTGGGCCGCAGGGTCTCACCCGTGGTCGGCGTTTCGCCCAGATTCGCGGCAGCGGCGAGCAAAACGTCGTGCCAAACAGTGCCAAACCGCGGCGTCCCACAACACCGCAGAGAGGAAGCCGTGCCAAACAGAGCCTAATATTTTTCCCGCAACCCTAACTCCTTTCTCAAAGAGGCGCTCTCTTCACCCCGCCGGTCTTCCATCGATAAGCAATCTTACTCTTCTCTGGCTATAAATATCTCTCTCAACACTCACGAGCGCGGGCTCTAACGCCAAACCAGCACACCCCCTTCCCGGCGCCGGCCTTCAACGGGCAACCAATCTTCCCCTTCTCCGGTTATAAGCCCGGGCACCTCCAGAATACGTGTAAGATGGGCAAGAACAAGTCATTCATCGATAAGAAGAAATCCGCAACCTTCAAGCTTCTCGCACGTGACACATCTAACTTTCCCGAATATGCCGAAGCTCGTGTTCCCCCATCATCCGACCGCGTATTTGTCAGTCGACAAAAACGTTTTTAGCGTGCCCGGCATCGAGGACGATAATGGTGGAAACGATCGCGCCGCTGCCGAGCTAGCCGAATTGAAAGGAGTAGATAATGACGATTCCATCTTCGCCGATGCACCTGGCGACACCGATGACGAAGGGCGCTTCTCGCAGCCATTGCTGAGGCATTCTGCCCACGTCACAAGTAATCACGCGGCTTCCAATTTGCTTTCGGATAAAGTTAGACAGGAAATCCTGGAGCTTGGGTTACCCGACGACGGCTATAACTATCTTCAGCATCTTCGGGAAATCGGCAATGCTAGTGCTGGCGCTGCTTACTATCAAAACAACAACGCAAGATTGGATCTCGTGCCGATTGATGTTAAGGTAAAGCTGATGTTTTTTTTTGAATTTGTCGTTCTTTTTAGTTAGGAATTCTATTATTTATTTATTTTGTTTGATACTCTTTTAAGGCCTTTGATGCCTCGAGGCTAAAACTTAGAGGAGTTGAATCAGACAAGGATTCAATCTATGTTGTTGCTACTAAGGTGGTTGGTGTTAGGGTTCAGAAGGTTTCTGATCCCGATGTGGCGAGGTTGCTAGATGTTTTCATTTGTTTTTCTCTCTTTTATTTTAAAAGGAGTCGCCAGCTTGTCGATCGTCGTATACTTCCCCCCATTTGAATAAATCTCCCTCCCGAATTAGATCAATGATTCAAAGAGGAGAGAAACCGAATAAAAAGGGACATACGGCAATGCGACAAACAAGAGAAAACACAAAACGTGGAGAGTCTACGTGCGGTAAACCTCGTAGGGATAAGTTAAGAGTGTTCGCCCAAATAAGATCAGGCGAAAACGCCTTAAACCGATATCCACGAAAGAATACCTACATAGACTACCCATAACCAGAGATTCAGGTGTAGGTGTCTGTTCTGGGGTCAAGAGCACTCCCAAGGGGACATATCCCACTTGGTTAATTACATCTTGGGGAGTACCCAAGAATACTCTCTCTAAAGGGGACATATCCCACTTGGTTAATTACATCTTGGAGAGTACCCAAGAATACTCTCTCTGGTCTTTGTTGACCATCGACGGCTTCCTCTTCATCCTTTCTTCCCTCCAAAAACCCTAAACCCTCCTTCCATCTGCTCCCCGTCTCGCAGCTCCACCTCCGCCACCTTCTCCTCCTCCAAAATGCTATCTTTAACATTAACGGCCCCCTTTATCTCCACCACCCGATCCCCCTACACTCTTCCTCGCCGTCCTCTCCTCATCCGCGCTCGCACCCAAGAGATCGAAACACCTCAGCCGCCGCCTAAGTCAGATCTCTTACCCAAGCTAAACCGCTACAGCTCCCGCATCACCGAGCCCAAATCCCAGGGCGGATCTCAGGCCGTGCTCTATGGCGTTGGGCTCTCCGACAACGATATGAAGAAGCCGCAGGTGGGGATCTCCTCAGTTTGGTACGAGGGAAACACCTGCAACATGCATCTGATGCAGCTTGCTGCGGCGGTTAAGGACGGGGTGAGAGAGGCGGGAATGTTCCCGTTTCGATTCAATACTATTGGTGTAAGTGATGCTATATCAATGGGAACAAGAGGAATGTGCTATAGTTTGCAGTCGAGGGATCTGATTGCGGACAGCATTGAGAGCGTCATGGCGGCGCAGTGGTATGATGCCAATATTTCGATTCCGGGGTGTGATAAAAATGTGAGATTTTTGCATCTTCAATTCTTATGTCTGTTTGTTTAGCCTTGAGATTGGGTTGCGGATTTGGATTGTTCAAGTTAAAATGATTTTGTTGATTGGCGTTGGATGGTAAAAATGCAAGCTTTATGCTTTAGCTGACTGCGTTCATTTTGCTTTCTAGCATTTATTTCATTTTTTTTTAATGAATAAATGAAATTGATGATAAAACCTAACCTATGTTTTTCATCTAATTTTCAAATTCTCACTCAAATTTCATAATTTATGATAAACATCCAACCCGCTTGCATGAATGCATCAGTTTTATAGTTTAAAAAATCACCCGGTGCTTGATTTGTTAATATCAATATTTCGGGTGTTCTGTATATAATTATCTCTTTTTTTAATTTGCACCGCACTATCTTGTTTTGACGTGAATGTTTGAAAGAGTTAAAGAGGTGAGTTTCATTGATTTGATTTTGTGTGTTTGTTTTGCCTGAGTCAAATCTTAATGTTATTTGCGCTTTGCGGGCTTTCATGGAAGCATGGCTTATCTGATTTTATAATAATCAATTGATATATTGTTGTCCTACTTTACATGTGAGTCTATATTTTGCCATACTAATGCCCTCTTAGTAAGATTAATTTATTTTTATTTGACATGGAGTACTAGTTTAAAAAATTGTAATACGAATAATCAATCGATTGTTAATTGATTTAATTAACTCAATTTTGACTAATTGTTATTTAATGCTATGCTTGAATATAGCTCCAAAGGTGAGATCCTATCACTTGAGGATACTTTAAATCAGAAAAAGGGCCACTAGCCCTTAGCCCTCAGTACATGTATACTTTAATCAGAAAAAGGGCTTGGACCGGCTGAAGATATCATAACCGGCCCACAGGTGGGCCAGTCTTGGCGACAGATAGGAGTGAGGCAAACAGGGAGAGCTGTAGAAGAAGGAAAGGGAGGGGTGGGGTCCACTAGGACCGTAATCACGTGTGCAAGGAGGAGAAATTAATGGAATTTGGAGGGAAAGGTAGGAAGAAATTTTTTGAAATGCTTGGTAGGAATTCTATTAAGGGGAGAACCTAGGGTTTATTTTTTTTATGCATGTTTTGTTATGGCTGTTGTTTTCTTTTTTTCTTATGGTGTTTGTAGCGACGTATAGTGTTTGGGAAAGATGATCTACCTCTTGAATAGTAGATTAGCCTTGTATCTTATTTGTTTTCCTTTGATTGTTGTAAGAGCAAACCTTATTTGTGTTTTTTCCACCTATCTCTTGTGATTTCATTGTGGTTTGTTTCCTAATTTTGGTGCTGAGACGTATCAGATTGGTATCAGATCATAGATCTCGGTGTGATGACAACAAATAAAGTTGATGTGCTAGAAGGCGAGGCAGGGCAAATCAAATTAGGAATGGAAGAGAGGTTTGTCAATATGGAGCACAAGTTTCCATTGAAAGTTGAATGGATGATGGATTTGAAAGCATAGGAGAAATGCAAGAGATGATGAAAAAGTTTATGGAGATGCAAGCCAAGACCATACCAATCGCTCTAGTTGCTAATTCTAATAAGGGGTTGATCAGAGAATCCTTGACTTGGTCAAAAGGTAAGGAGATCGAGCGAAGACAACGAAGAAAACCTCATCTACCTACAATATCTTTCCTCTAGGACTCCAAGAGGGGTAGTGGAAACTTTTGACATAGAGGGAAGACTCGAAAATTGGAGGAGAGATAGTGTAAGGGGCACAAAAGAGCAGGATGAAGGAAAGAGGGATTATGGAGCGGGATATGCTTATGACCGAAGGAGGGAGTTTTAGCTTAGACAGATGAGGGGAAATACCAGAGGAATAGGAGGTTGGGCTTAAGATGCAAGGGTCAGGAAACTGAAGATGCCAACCTTCGAAGGGGAGGATGCACATGGATGAGTGTATTAGGTGGAGCGATGCTTCGTGATCAACAGATTGACTGAGGAAGAGAAGCTCATGACATTGGGATTATGTTTAGAATGGAAGGCTTTAGCGTGGTTCCAGTGGATGGAGGCAAGACCGCAAGGTATTTAATACACTCATTGGGAGGTTTTAAGGATTGCTTGTTGGAATTTTTTTGAGGCATTTGGGAAGGAGTCTTACATGAACAATTCTATGTTTTAACTCTGGAGGGGACGATTATGGAGTATTAAGAGAAGTTTAAGCTCTTGTTAGGAAGGTTAAGGGGGATTTCTGCATCAAGACTGAAAGGGAACTTTTTGAAAGATCTAAAGCCCAACATAAGAGCAACCATCCATCCCTTGAGACTGTGTGGATTGAAGGAAATGATGGAGCTGGTCTGAGAATAAAAAACAAGTGAAGGAGACCGACAAATGCGAGAACACCAAGAGATTCTACAAGAGCACCCTGGCAGCCACAACACCGATGACTCAGACGATGTCATTTCAGAAAGAGATACTAAAGGAGAAGAGTACAAAACCCTGGTCCGGGAGTAATTTCAAATGCCTCACAGATGCAAAAGTGCAGGACAAAAGAGTCATGATTGTGTTACCACAGTGACGAGGAATACTTTCTAGGACACTATTATAAGGAGCGCGCTCTTTAGGCTTTTTTATTTCAGTAGGAGGATACAGAGATTCAGGAATCAGAAGAGGAAGCAACGGAGGAGCACTTGCATTTGGATGTGGCAGAGGTGTCCCTTAATTCGGTGGTGGGATTTACCCCCGAATCACACCAAGAAGATGAGGGGATGGATCGGGAAACAACCGATTGTAGTGTTGGTGGATAACCGAGCCACACATAACTTTTTCGTAAATCAGGTTGTGGAGAAGTTAGGGTTGAAACTGGTGACTACTGAGGGCTTTGGCGTCATGATGGGAAAGGGGAGGTGGAGAGAAGTCAAGGAATTTGCAAGGGGTTGATTTTGATACTACATGACCTGCAAATGGTGAAAGACTTCCTTTAGATTTGGGCAGCAAATATGTGATTCTAGGGATGAAGTGGTTGCGAACGTTTAGAGAGATGAATGTGGATTGGAAGTCCTTGATGATGGGATTCCCAGTGGAGGTTAGGAAGGTGGTGTTGAGAGGAGATGCAAGCTTATGCAAAATCATTGTCAATTCGATTCGGGGAGCAAGACTGTGTTACTTGGTGGAGTTGCAGAGCATCGAGGAGGTTCAAGATTCAGAGTTGACAGAGTTTCCATAAGGGATCCAACAACTCCTACAGCAGTTACTGATGTTTTCCAGTAGCCAAGCGGATTACCATCTCATAGGGAGCAAGAGCATGCTATTACATTGAAGGAGCTCCCATCAACATCAGACCATACATGTATCCCAGATTCAGGAAAATGAGATAGAGAAGTTGATCTGCGAGATGCTTGAGGTTGGGATTATCAGGCCTAATGTGAGTTATTTTTCCGATCTCGTCTTGTTGGTGAAGAAAAAAGATGGTAGTTGGAGATTCTGCATGGACTGCTATACTTTGAACAAGGAAATGGTGTTGGACAAATTTTATATTCTTGTGATTGATGAGTTGCTAGATGAGCTATATGGGGCAGTCATTTTCTCAAAAATACTGTCAGATCAGGATGAATCCAATGGATGTGCACAAGACAACATTCAAGACATATGAAGGACATTATGAGTTTTTGTTGATGTCGTTTGGCCTCACCAATACCTTGACGATATTTCAATCTCTCATGAATAGGGTTTTTCAACCTTATCTCCAGAAATTAATTCAGTTTTTTTTTATGATATTCTGATCTATAGTTGTACAGAGACAGAGCACGTGGGACGCTTGAGGACTGTCCTTAAGATTTTTAAGGAACACTAGTTGTATGCTAGCTTGAAGAAATGCTCTTTTGCTCAGTTATGGGTGGAGTACCTAGGGCATCTAGTGACCAGGTTGAGGGTAGCAATGGATAAGTATAAGATTGAGGCTATGGTTGATTGACCCTTACCAAGAAATTTGAAAGAATCGAGAGGATTCTTAGGACTCACAGGTTACTACCAGAAGCTCGTGAGAGGATATGACACGATAGCATGACCATTGATGGAGCAATTGAAGAAATATAAATTAAATTGGGGGGAAGGAACAACACATGCATTTGAGCATCTGAAGAGGGTCATGGCTAGCGTACGAATATTAGCACTTCCAAATTTCAGTAAACCATTTGTAGTGGAGACGGATTCGTCAAGATACGGATTGGGAGCAATGTTCATGAAGGATCAACGACCGATTGCCTACTTTTGTTAGGTTCTGACGGGCAAGGTGATGCTAAAGTCAGTATATGAACAAGAATTGATGACCATCATCTTGGCCATTCAGAACTGGCGGCCTTACACATTGGAGCAACATTTTTTAGTCAGGATAGATTAGAGGAGTTTAAAGTATCTTTTTGAACAGTAGATGGTGACTGAGGAGCATCAAGGATGGCTATTCAAGCTACTCGGGTATGATTTTGAGATTTAGTATCGACCAGGATTGGAGAACAAGATAGCTGACACACTGTCGAGAAAGGTGGAGGAACCTCAATTGACGGCCCTATCGGTACATTTGGTCCTAGGTGGGGAAGCCATGGCGCAAGAGAGCGAAAAGGATGAGGAGATGAGAAAGATTAAAGCTGAATTACTACAAGATCCAAACAATCATCCAGGATATGCATTGAGGAGACGACTGCTGCTCCACCAGGGGCAATTCATGTGATCCAAGTCATCAGAGTCTATTCTCAGATTATTGCAAGAGTTTCATGGCAGTGCGATCGAGTGACATTCAGGGGTGCAGAAGACCTACAATCATATGGTGGTAGAATTTTATTGGGTTGGGATGCATAGTATAAATTATTTTCCAAATCAAAAAGTTGTCGGGGATATGGTGACACAATGCAACATATGTCAGCGACACAAGCACTTGACCACGACACCAAGAGTGTTACTATAACCATTAGCATTGCTACGGAAGGTTTGGGAAGAAGTGATGATGGATTTCATCGAGGGATTGCCACAGTCAGAAGGATTCACAGTGATCATGGTGGTCGTAGATCGCTTGAGTAAGTATCGACAATCTCAGTCGCGGTGGTGTTTATCAGGGAAGTTTGATGTTTGCATGGAGTATTATAATCAATTGTTTCAGATAGAAACAAGGTATTCCTCGGCTACTTCCGGAAAGAACTATTCAGGTTGCAAGGGACAATCCTTAAGAGGAGCACTGCATATCACCCCAGAGTGATGGACTGACGGAGGTGGTCAACAGGAGTGTGGAGACATACCTGCATTTTTTTTGTTTCTGATACGCCAAAGCTATCGACCAAGTGGATTGCATGGGTTGAATATTGGTATAACACGTACCACACCGCATCACAAGCTGCCCTTTTTAAGATATTTTATTGGCGGGATCCATCTCACTTGGTACATTATGGGCATGACGCCACACCAGTATCTAGCACAAATCAGTACTTGGAGGAGAGGGACAGGATATTAGCAGAGCTCAAGGGGCATTTACTGAGAGCTCACCAAGGAGAGAGACAGGATATTAGCAGAGCTCAAGGGGCATTTATTGAGAGCTCACCACAACATGAAGAGGAAAGCATATGAGCACAATAGAGAGATGCAGTTTGAACCAGCGGACATGATCTATTTGAAGTTGAGGCCCTATCGACAGAAGGCATGAGCCAGAAGGAGGAACAAGAAACTTTCACCACGATATTATGGAAGTGTCTTCTAGTTTGAAGTTACCATCGTCATCCACACTACACTCGGTCTTCCATGTGTCACAACTGAGGCGTGCGATTGGAGATCATACACCCTCACCTACACTATCGTCTATGTGAACAAAAGACTTGGAGGTGATTTTAGAGGCATTAGAGATCGAAAGAGTGCATCGAGGAGTAGGGGGAGCAAAAGAGGTATTGGTCAAATGGAAGGGGCTGCCATGTTATGAAGCAACATGAGAGCTTACGAGGTGATCCACGAGCAGTTTCCATCATTCCACCTTGAGGATAAGGTGTCTTTTTAGGAGGGAAGTAATGTTACGCCTATATAGTCAATCATCCCTGGACCGGCTAAAGATAGCATAACCGGCCTACACGCGGGCCAGTCTTGGCGACAGGCAGGAGTGGGGTGAACATGGAGAGCCGCAGAAGAAGGAAAGGGAGGGGTGGGGTCCACTAGGGTCATAATCACCTATGCAATGAGCAATGTGAAGATTACTTGTAGCAACATTTGGTGTAAAAATTTATTAAGATAGAAATTGATTGCTTTTGATGTTTTTAACCTTTACGCAAATCTCCTACTATCTAGACTGATGTGACATTTATTTTTTAGATGTCTGGTACAATTATGGCAATGGGACGGCTCAATCGACCTAGTCTCATGATATATGGTGGAACGATAAAGGTCAGATTGAATTTATATTTAAAAAATCTTATGGATGATCAAACCTGATTTTGTTTATTTCTTTAGACAGATTTTTTTTGGTTGACTTATGCATGTAAAAGTACTACTAAACTTTTGGTGCGATGAAATTAAAACTTTAATAGTTTGTGTTTCTCAAATTTGTGTAGCTATGTACATTTCATGACTACAAAGATCCTAATTATTCGTTACTTACTGCCAATTGACATTAATAGAAATTAAATATCATGTTTTTATGCATGCAGCCTGGCATTACAATGGAAAAACATTTGATATAGTATCTGCATTTCAGGTATGGAGTACATTTTTTGTCACAAAAAGCTACTTTCTAGCTTCTTCATTTTTATATTTTTTGGGGTTTTATGACGATGAATTATATTTGTTTCATTATATAGCATATTAAATCACCTCATTTTGTGTATTATTATGATTTTCTGCTCTTCCTTTTTTGGTCCATTACTAATGCTTGTTCAGGAATAATTTTCATCCATGGAAATACTTGGATGGATTGTACTGCACTATGATGTTGGTCTTCTACTTCATTTAATCCCATAATATAACCATTAAACATTTTCAACCATTTCACTTTGTTTTACTATAGTATGTTAGTACTCAAACATTTTAAGTAAGGATGTAAATGAACCGAATCGAGCCAAGTACTATGGTGTTTAAGCTCATTTATTTTTTTTCTTATTTGGTATAGCTGATGCTGAACATGACTTAATTTTTTAACTCTTGTTCAAAGGTGTCTATTAATTATATTATCGAGTTTTAGTCAAAATCAATGTTTTATTGATTCTAACTTTTTGTAGGATGTTAGTAATTCAAAAAATAGTCTTGTTATTAAAAATAAAAGCATTTGTGTTTTTTAATTAAAATTGGCAATGATTTACTCAGCATCATTCATTAAGTCGTAAATCATAAAATTTATGAATAATAAAGTTTGATTTTCATTATATCCATCAATTTTGTACTTATTTTTAATTTATAAAAAGAAAATTCTATTTTTTATCTACCATTATAACTAATATTCTCATCCTACTTATGTTACTAATAATATATAGAACATTTGAAGTGCATAGAATATAAAAAAATATATACATGTAAGTTTGAATAAGTCGTCAAAAAGTAATTAAATTTGGATTAAATTTGTATTTTATTAAGCTCCATGCGAGGTTCTTGTTAAATAATAAATATGCATATTCACGAATCTAAAAAAATTAACAGGCCAATTTTCCTCTTTTGCATTAACATATTGAACTTTAAAGATGTGGTAAAGCTTGTTCAGTTCTAACTAAAGATAAATAAGGTTTGTTTTAATGAATGTTAAGTTATTCATGGACTATAATAGTTTGCATATTGCACTAGTTTCAAGGCACTGACCATTGTGTAATTTGTTCAAATTTCCGTACAAGAAATGATCATAATCATGTGCGAGTTGGTGATAACCCTCATTAGCTTTATCCCAGCTATTTGAGACTGTCTATATGAATTCATGTTCCCCATTTGTTATTGCTTACTTTGAAGCGAGTTCTTAAAAGTTATTATATGCAAATTATTTGAAAAATCTTTTATCTATATTGCTTTTGCTCTTACCACTATCTCTTCCAATAATTTTATTTTAATTTTATCTCTCCATCTTATTAGTGCATTTGTTACTCTTGATTGTAAGTGTCAATATATATATATATATATATCCCACTACCATGTTTTCAGTTGTTGATATTCTCTCTGCCTATTTGATATAATCAATTTTCGGTCATAGCTTTGCTACATGTCCATTATTATTTATTTACTTGTTGCTATGTTCAACTTTGCTAAAGTTTTGTTACTGCCTAACATTCAATCTCATAAAAATTTGTCAGCCTAATTGTTATTTTATAACATTTGCCTTCAAATCTAAGTGCAATTCTTTTGTTGTATAATGCCTTGGAGGCACTTTTTCATTTTAATGATTTAGCCTTAATTTTAGAAGTCATATTCTTATTAATATTCTTTTCTTATGTATAATAGATATAAGATATTTAAATTTGTCAAACACAAGTATCACTTTAACTTCTAAACATATTATTTGATAATTTTTAACGTTATAGCAATTAAAATTAATATCATATAAGTTTTAAGCCTGCTAATTTCAAGTTTTCTTTTTGATAATTTTATTGTCTTAACTTTCCACTTATTTCAATATATGTTTTTCATTAGAACAAGTTCATATGTGAAAAAAAAAAAGCGCCAAGGCACCTTACTTTGAATGTTGTTCGAAAGTATCTTCATAATCAGTACAAATGATATATGCTCAAGGTTTATGCTTAATGTTATCTCGTTGTAATCGAAACTATTAGATCACAAGTACTTTTAATACAATCAATATTTAATTTTTCATATTTTTAAAAATTTCATCATACTTTGACATAGTTCATTCTTTTCTTTCCATTTATAGAATATCAAATTTATTGGCTAAATGACTGAAGTTGGCATAAGTAGAGTGACTCAGACGAAACAAAGAGCCAATAGGAAGAGAACACATCAAATAGCCAATAGGAAGAGAACACATCAAATAATGGCTTTTAGTGATATTTGCGCTTTCAACAAAGCAGACACATTTCAGCGATAAATTCCCTTCGAGCGACCCTGAATATCTTTAGAAATGGATTAGACTTGTAGAATACATTTTTAGTTTCATAGTCGTTGAGATTGCTTTTATGACATTATATACCACCTAAGGTACTGTATGTACTGCATGCATCAAACTCACATATTTAAGTTCGCCTCATTAATTTTTACCATCTGATTTTCCAGTTAACAATCTTTATGGAACATAGATCCTTGGTTTTCAGGTGCTGATAGCTATTTCATTAGTTATGTTCAACTTGCTTGTATTTCATCTCGAAGTCATTAGGAAATTGTTTCAACTAAAAGCTTTTATTTTGTTTCAATTTTACTTGTGTTTTTCCTCATGTTAAAAATTCATTCTATGTGACATGTTCTTTTGCCTTTTGTTGAGATTGTTTCTAGTGCTATGGCGAATATGTCAGTGGTTTGATCACCGATGACGATAGAATGACTGTTTTGCGTAATTATAATTCATGCCCTGGAGCTGGGGCTTGTGGTGGCATGTATGCTGCAAATACCATGGCTTCTGCTATCGAAACGATGGGTATGACACTCCCCTACAGGTACTGCCCCTTCCTATATATTGTTGTGAAGTGCTCTTGTAAGTTAAATACTTTGGGGGAATGTCTATCCATCTTTAACTTCATATTTCCTTCTAGGGACATTTACACACATAGCACACAATTCTAATATATTTACTTATGTCGCACCTAAAATTTCATCTTTACACGCATAACACTGAACTTTAATATCACATCAAAAGCATTGTTACCATTTTTTAAAACTAAAATACATTTTTCATGCATAGGTTTAAAGCACCAAAGTGCTATCTGTGTAAGTGGATTCGCTCTTTGTTTATAATAGTTTGGCTTTTTTAGCATTATTCCACATATGTACTTAATATTTGCAGGTTGTATCTTTGTGCATTTTACGTAATTATTTACATGTTTAAAGGATTTTTAGGCACTATCATGTTGGTGCAATTATGATTTTGAGATCAAATTTGGCTTAGAGCATGGTCCAGAGTGCCAAAAAAAAAGCCAACTTTGTGCCACAATCTAAATAATTACACCCTCGAAAAGGTATAATTAGAACCATGATAGGCCGCCCGAACATGAAATTTTGGGAAATTATAAATTTAACTAGTTTTTTAGGAACTTGTTGGTAGAATTTTTGAGTCGGTCTGGATAGAAAAGAAAAGTGATTTGAGGAAACATGAGTAAACATATTTATTCAATATTTTCTTGTTCATTTTTCTTTTCTTATTTAATTTTTTTTTTCAACGATTTTTCATTTTTTAGCATATTCTAATCCCTCCAAAAATATTAGATGTTAAATAAATTATAGTTTATCAAATACAGTTTCTCTTGTTCATGGTTTCTTTTGTAGGTCTGTAGGTTTGCATTTGACTCTTGATGATTTTCAGAAGGTCAGTGATGCAGTTCCTTTCCTTGCTGATCTCAAGCCTAGTAGTAAATATGTAATGGAAGACTTGCACAAGGTAGCTGAAATGTTTCCTTATCTTACTTTTCTATGATTTTGTTTATTCATTTTCAAATATGAATTTTTTGTCAACGAAGAATTTTTTTGTTTTTTTTTTTTTTTGCGGATTTACGTAAAATAGCACACGATTTTTATTTATATATCTCATACATAAACTTACATACCTATACACATAGCATTCAAGTATTTAATATCACATAAAAAATAGCAATATTACCATTTTTTTAAGTGAAATACACCCTTTCATGCATGGGTTTAAGGCACCAAAATGCTGTCTATGTAAATGTGAAATTATAGGTGCGGGATATGTAAATTTTTAGGAATTGAGTGCTGGGTATGTAAATTTTCTTTTTTTTTTTTACATGTAAGCTGTAACCTGACATCATTCTTTCAGATCGGGGGAACACCTGCGGTGATTCGTTACCTCTTAGAAGAAGGATTTTTGGATGGAGATTGTATTACTGGTACGTGCAATGATATTTTTGAAATATGTGCTTATCATTTTAATATTACATCATAATAAAGTGCCTTTATCGCAGTCACGGGGAAGACTCTTGAAGAAAACATGAAGTTTGTTCCCTCTTTAGCAGAAGGGCAGGTATTTTGTTGGCTCTTTCTATTGTTGTTCCTAATGTTCTTCATTTGAAATCATACTTTTTACATGTATATAACACCTAAACTTTACTACTTTACATTAATATCACCAAAATTCTTCTTTTTGCATAAAAATTTAAATACATTTTTTCGTGCGTAGGTAAGGTATCTTGTATGTAAAAAATTAATGTTTAGGTGTTAGATATGTAAGCACGTAAGATTGGAGTGTTATATATGTAAATCTTGCTTTATGTTTTTGGTTTTCAGCAAATAATACGTCCCGTTGGGAACCCCATCAAAGCAAGTGGGCATATTCAAATACTGTATGGGAATCTTGCTCCAGATGGATCTGTTGCTAAAATTACTGGCAAAGAAGGATTATATTTTTTCGGTCCCGCTCTTGTTTTCGAAGGAGAGGAATCCATGATTGCAGCTATTTCTGAAAATCCTATGAACTTTAAGGTCTCAAATTCTGATTTAAGTTGGCTTTCTCTAAGTTTCAAATGTATTTGGGAATCTTCTGATTACTGATGTTCTTCTTCTGTTTTCCAGGGCAAAGTAGTTGTTAAAAGAGGAGAGGGGCCGAAGGGTGGTCCAGGAATGCATGAA